ACTCCTTGGGACACAGTACTCAGTCTCATGGTAGCAAGAGAGAACTCAAACCTACTATGTCTGCAGGGAAGATGGGGAAACAAGTCTTGTCCACCAGTCTTGGCTACACTGCAGACAAAGTGCCTTTGAAACACGGTATCAAGAAATTAGAATCTTAGCTGGGGCTGAACTGTCCATATCAAACTCAGTGATAGCCACATTACACAGGAAAGCGGGTAAGTGCATGGCTATTTATCAGGGCCTGCTGTAACAGGAAAGAAGCAGGTCATTCTGACTGCATCTAAAAGGAACAACATTCTTCTTCCCATAAGCAAAGAAGGTATCTCACATCCAGGAACATAGAATCTGAACTCTCAGAAAGTCAAGGCTAAAGGAGAAGGCATGAAGAAATTATTTTCCTGAACTTTATAGGATATAGAAGCCAAGGTTATCAAAAAGAAAATAGAAAACAAATATCCTAATAGGAAAACATGGCCTTTCCTCTGACAAGTATCTTAAATGAAAACTTCTCAAATTGGCAAAACAGCCTTTCTTCATGAGTTCACAGCTAATAAATACAGATGAGGGCATCAGACACAACTTTTAGAGAACATGGCTTTATACAGTGCAAGTATATCAGACATTCCTCAATATAAAAGAGAGACCAAAACAGAAATACAGACTTGGGGGAGGGGAGGTCAGGAAAGAAAGAATACCATGACAGGAAAAAGGGAAAAAAAACTTTCATTATGAAACGCCCTCTAACCTCAGAAAGATGATATAACATCTATGAAACAAAGAATGCTATAAAAAAGGAAAGAGAGCAAGAAAATATTCTTGGAAATTGAAATGTTCACAGCCAAAATAAAAATTCAATAGAGAATTCAACACAGAAGAAAAAGTTGAAATCTCTTAGAAAGTAATACAAATTGAAAAAGAGAAGGGCTATAGAAGAAAAATATGACTTAGAGGATTAATCTAAGAAATCCAGTATCCTACTAGTAGGAGTTCCAGAAAGAGAGGATGGAGAAAACAGTGAAATAAATTATCAAAGAAATAATAAAAGAAAATATTCCAGAACGAAAGTTGGTAAGTCCAAACAGTGAATGGGCCTACTGGATTTCCAGTCCAATTAAGGAACAGAGGATTTGTATTAGGGCATATTCTTATGAAACTTAAGGATTCTAGAGCTAAGAGAGCTGAGCCTGAGGATAAGGAGATGGGATAGGGGTAGGGCAAAGGAAAGTAGTCACATTCCAAGAAATTAGAATTGAAATCATTAACCTTGGATGCTAGAAGATAATAAATTTGGAGGGTAAGCCTTTTTCAGCCTAAAATTCTATATGCAGCCATACTATGTGATTCATGTGGAAAAAGAAACAAAAATTAGATATGTAAACATTTATAAAAATTCCTGTATATCTTTTTATTAGTTACTGGAAAATGTGCTTCAGTAAAGTAAGGGAATAAACCAAGAAAGAGAAAGTCATGAACAGAATCCATAAAATAGGGAATCCAGTCCAGAGAAGTGGTAAAGGGAGGTCCAAGGATGACAGCTATGTAGCAGGCCTGGAGAACAACCAGTCCAAGATTGGATCAGAAGAATGGAAGGCTCTGTGCGGGGGGGAAGGGATGGAATAAAGGAATTATTGGATGTGTTTGCACATTTGGGAATAAAATCTGATACATTTTTAAGAAAGTAGGGAATTTTCATTGTCTACCCATGAAAAAAGAAAACAAATAAAGGCAATAAATAATTCTAGGAAAGACAAAACCATGTACAAAGAAAGAAACTATAACCTATTGGAAGGGAGGCAGGGAAGTGAGAGAAGAAAGGACAGGCAGGTCACCTGGGATTCCATCAACCAGAGATAACGTGTTATTATTTTGTTTATCTTTTCAAATAAATCTGTACCATACACATATGTATCTTTATAACAGTGGGATCATACTGTACTATTTTGTGGTTTGCTTTTTGTCAGTTACTATTATTTTTAAATATGTATTTGACATTATATATCCTGCAGGATAATATTTAATAGGTTATAGAATAATTAATTTAGTGAATAGACCATAATGTATTAACCAAATCCCTGTTGCTTTGATGTATTTGGTCCTTTTAAGTTCCCTGAAATATAGTAAAACAAAAACAGCTCTGATTTTGGAACCAGGACTTAGAGTCTTAGCTGTGACTAAATATCCTGTCCTGATTTAGGAGATTAGGCCAAGAAAATGCAGAATATTTACTTATATATGTATTCATGCTAATATCACAGACAGACAAGAATGATGAAGGTGCCACTTTTGGCCGGGCGCGGTGGCTCATGCCTATAATTCCAGCACTTTGGGAGGCCGAGGCAGGCAGATCATGAGGTCAAGAAATCGACACCGTCTTGGCCAGCATGGTGAAACACTGCCTCTACTAAAAATACAAAAACTAACTGGGCGTGGTGGCACGCGCCTGTAGTACCAGCTACTTGGAAGGCTGAGGCAGGAGAATCACTTGAACATAGGAGGCGGCGATTGCAGTGAGCCGAGAGCCAGACTGTCTCAAAAATAAATAAAAAATAAAGTGCCACTTTTTCGTATTACATCATGGCTATATTTAAGGGAACATCTCCTATCCCCTTCTCTGTCTAGAGTGCTGCTAACCCAAGTATCTGCATGGTCCATTTTCTCATTTCATTCAGGTCTCTCGCTATTCACACATCCCCTTATCAGGGAGGCCTTTTTGGTGCACTTTACATAAAATAGGCCACCACTGTCACTGCACAGACTTATCTGCTGAGCTGATTTTATTTTTTTCCATAGCACTTTCTCACCATCTGTCATCCCAACACTAAAATATAAGCTCAAGAATAGTTTTTCTGTCTTACTTGTTTCTCTATCTCCAGTGGCTAAAATAATGCCTGGCATAAAGTAAGTAGGTGCTCAGTCATCTTTGAATGAACAAACAAATGAATGAGTTAATTAACTGGGACTTAGAAAACTATGGGAACAACCCAAGAAAGCAGTGAAGGGAAATTCTAAGTTGACAGAGGTCCAGTTCCAGGTTAGAGCAGAAGGTCTAAGGGTCCAGGAAAGGAAGTCTCCAGGAAGAATTGACTCAGAAAAATTTCGATTGAGTAGAGTTAGAAAAAAAAAAAAGGAGGGGGTAACTAACAAAAACAAGTATTGGAGGACAGAGACTTAACTTTTAAGAATGGAAGTCTGCTTGGCTCAGCAGTGAACAATATTTAGAAGTAAAATCATAAGTATATTAGTAAGAATAGAAGAATTAAACAGGAAGGAATGGTAGGGCTGTAAAAGTGAGCTAAACCCTCATCTCTCATTGCAGCTCAGCAAGGGTAATGAATAAGTTATCGAGCAATGGCAAGATGGTCATAAATGTTTGGAGGTTTGGTAAAAACTGTTGGAAGAACAGCTAAAAGAGTTAAGAGATGCTTCCTCTAGGAAACGGGTCTAGAAGTGGGAAATGATGGAAAAGGAAACTATAGTTTTGCACTGCAGGCATTTCTGTGATATTTGATATGAAATTATGTATGTGTGTGTGTGTGTGTTAGCTTTATAAAACTGAAACTATCAGCACTTGGGAGGCTGAGGTGGGCAGATCACTTGAGGTCAGGAGTTCGAGACCAGCCTGACCAACATGGCGAAACCCTGTCTCTACTAAAAATACAAAATGAGCTGGGTGTGGTGGTGAGCACCTGTAGTCCCAGCTACTTGAAAGGCTGAGATGGGAGAATCACTTGAACCCAGGAGGTGGAGGCTGCAGTGAGCCAGGGTCGCACCATTGCACTCCAGCCTGGGCAACAAAGAACAAAACTCCATCTCAATAATACTAATAATCTGGAACTAAAATTCTAGATAATTGAAGCAACAGGGATGGAGGCAGGATGGGAGGAAGGCGTGGGGAAAGTGTAGTATCTAAGGGCCTGCCTTGTTTAGATGAATGATTTCAGACAGCAAGAGAAAATGTAAGTTTGCAGTTTTGGGGTAAGGCTAACCACTAAATAAATAAAAATGGAATTTATGCTTTCAGATTGTTAATGAAAAGAAATTTGTTAAAGCCTGGGTGAGGAGGAAAACTCATCATTCACACTAAAGATAAGAGTCAGAAATAACAAGAAAGCGTAGGGTATATAAAACAAGATGACTGTGGTCAGACCAAATAGCTCCGATCTCAATATATGTGAATATGTTTAGTCTCTCTATTTAAGAAACAGAGACTTTCAAACTATATTTTTAAAGAAGTCAGCTTACATGATTTCAAGACACACACTTAAAACAAAATGACAAAAGATTGAAAATGAAGGGAAGGGCATATACCAAGCAGATGCTGGCAAAGAAGAAAGCAAGATAGTAGTAATGCCAGCCAACATGGAATTGAAGGCACAAGCATTGAATGAAAATTTTCTTCCCAGTACAAGAAAGCCACATTTATTCATGTTACCCCTGGCTTTCTTCCTTTTCCCTAGGTATTTGACATCTTGAAAGTGAGCATCACTTAGCTGATTTTGCAGCCAATATAATGGGACCAACCCTTACTGAAAACCCCTGGAGATCTTCAAACGTATTTTTAAAAATAAATATTCCTTTGTTTTATTTTTTTTAAATCCAGTGTGCTTTCATGTTAATAACTGTTTGCATTTTCTTGGCATACATGATTTATTGGTAGCAATTTGTGCTTCTAAGTCTTAAATTGAAATAGCACATATTGGTCTGGTACAATTACACACATCATCTGCTGTGGTGTCTGACATTGGGCTGTGGAACCATTGAACGTTTGCTATGGAGAAGTCAGATGAGGTTGGAAGAAGGTTCTTTTAAAGTAAATGCTCTTGTTTCCAGAGACTGTGGGCATATTGCCTGACTCACAGTCCTCTCTTGGCCTCACCAGTATCTCTCATCAGATAGCATATGCCAAAAGAAAGGAGGAACATGAATTTACTAAAATTAATTTGAAATTTGTGTTTGTTCTGTGTATTCTAAATGTTTGACTTTTTATTTTTTAAATGTAGCTAATGCTGCCTACCTTGGGGGCCAAGAAATGATGGAGGTGGTGAAGAGGGATGACGAAGCCATAAAGAAGCATTTATGTAAGGTAATCACTTTAGTGCTGCAAGGGGATAAGTAATACATACATGGGCAGAGACTTTTACTGAGGGCAAAGGACTAGAACTAGTTAGAATCTGTAAGACTTTAAGGGTTTGTAGAATGACGTAGAGTTCTACTTCCAGTTAAAATTATAATTATCCTTGAAAGCTGCATAGAGAACAGTAAAGCTGATTGCATAGTAACTTAAATATATCTTACCACCTGTTTTTGAATTAATTTTAGAATCAATAGTTTTCTATTTTGTCAATGCATTTTAGCCTCTCTAGGTCTTCTATTGAGAAGACTCAATAATGTTTACAGAATAAATAAATTATATTGGAATATAAACAGCGGAAAATAACTTACATTATATATTATATGACCTCATGACTACTGAGCCTGTCTTTCTTATTCTCTAATGTATTAGAGTAGGAATGTCCTGCTCTGACCTTAAGACCAGTTTTCTGAAATATTCACCATTTGGGAGTTATCCTGCAAATACTAGAATCTTGGCACAAACACATTTGGAAGCACCAATCTCTGAAACCATAAGATAAGACTATGGTTTAGTATATGTCTAAGGTCACCTTGGAATTTGGGTGACTGTGGTACTCCTGTGGCATCATTTGTCTGGCTGTCCATTCTAAGTAGGATAGAGCTATACTGTCTAATATTCTAGCCACATGTGGTTATTTGTGGCTAGCCTGAATTGAGATGCACCATGAGTGTAAAACACACATGGATTTCAAAAGCTTAGTACCCCCCAAAAGCAAAATATTTCATTAATTTTTATATTGATTATCTGTTGAAATGATACTACCTTACATAGAGTGGATTAAGTAAAACATATTATTAAAAGTAATTTCACCTATTTCTTTATACTTTTTTAAACATCTTTACTAGGAAATTTTAAAATTACATGTGTACCTTGCTTTATACTTTGGTTGGACAGCACTGATCTTGCACTTTACAATTGGTGCCAAACTCTGATACCTGCTGAACTGATCCCCGCTGAGTGGCAAACTCTTATAGGGCTCAGGAACCTATAATCCACAAGTGAGATATGAGATAACCCGCTGGACTTAGAATGTCTTTATAAACCTTGATACATTTGACTTAAACTTTCCTACAGTGTTAATTCATAATTCCATAACTTCCCAATACAATTATCTTAAAGCAAGAAATGGATATGTTCTTAAAAAATTTTTTTTCAGAATATTGAAAATATTCACCAGGAGAGGACTTTTGAAAATGCCAGTGTGTCTTTGTCTCATGGCTGTAGTGGTCATTATATTTCCAAAATAGCAATTGGCTAGAGATTGAAATTTGGAAACCAGAAGGAAGCCCTCACTAGCCGAAGGGAGAGTGCTGGGGCCTCTGGTGGACCTCTCCCCAGGGCTTTCAGCTACTTCCAGTCATTGAGCAATGTGAAAATACAAGAAAAACAGTATTTTATTTTTCGTTTAAACTATAAGTGAATCTGTTTCAAAAATGCATTTAAGTTCTTCCAGGTTGGGAGTTCATAAAAACAGCTCAACTCTCAGTTAATAATAAGACTGGCAGATGCTCCCTTCCAAAATTCACACTTGCTGAGTGACTAGACCCATCATGTGTCAGAGCCTGCCTTACCACCTGTGGAAGCCAGCTGCTGTAAAATACTCATCATTTCTGGATTCTGCTTGTGTGTTGTGCTTAGAAAAAGGTCAAAGAAAGGTGCTAACTTATTCCTGTCCTAAGTTAAATCCATATGCAAGTGTAATCATTCCCAGATAGAGGGCTGTTCATGGTAATTGTGTCAGGACTGTAAGTTTACTGAAACTTTTATGGGGAAATACGGGGGTTTAATGGTAGATGGTAGACATTTCAAGGTTAGTATTAACACACAGTCACAGAAATAAACTTTTCCAACTCCAGGCAATAATTTTGTTTTTGATATAGTGTTAAATGTACTTGTAGAATATGAGGAAACAAGGCATTGTTTCATTTAATCATGCAAAACTACCTTGCAGTTGGTTCATTATCCTTTCTACCAGCAAAATTCAAGCTCTCCACTAGTATAATACAATTACAATTCCTAAGTGAAACTAGGTACAGAGAGACAGGAAGTTTATTGCAACTTTTTGTTTCTGTAATAAAAAGAGGAAACATGCTGTAATTTAATATTGGTAAAAGTTGAATCAACATGTGTCCCAGTCTGCTTGAGAAAATAAGGAAACTTAAAAGTGCACATAGTTCTAGGAAGATAGTGCGCATCACCTCCTGCCTTCCAAACACCACTGATAACTAGGCAAACTAAAACCAGTGTCCAGGATTAGAAGTATTCCTAGTTTAGGTATCTTAATCGATGATACTCTTTCCCATTTCCACCCAAACAAAGGCATTCAGAAACGTCATACCTATCCAGGACTGTCCAGTGTGAATAGTCATCGAGCCACACATTTTGTTGAAAAATAATTTCCTATATCTCAAGTTATTCAACTAAAAATAGTTCTGAAAAATATATCTTTGTGCCATCCAGCCAGGATGCCACAGGATAGTCTAAAAATAAAGCTTTCTACCGTATCATGCAGACAGCTTTCTACTTCTTTCTCCTCCCCGAGACAACTGTGATACCATAACCTGCAGTCTTTGGTTCTAAATCCAAATTTTCTACCACTGTATATCCACTGGACACAAGAAAAGAGTTTTTAATATGCTTGAGGTAAATGGGCATTTTTAGCTTTAAAAGATCTCTTGGGCTGATTGTCCTCCTTCCAAGGTCTAGTCATTTTATACACAGTATTGGGCCTAAAATAAAGTAATTTGTTTTATTAAAATAAAGTAATTAATTTTATTAAAATAATTTTTCTTTCCTGAAGCAAATATTACAGACTCATAGTTGTTTCTAAAGGAATATACCACAGTTTATGACATCATAGGTTATTTTCTCATTTCTTTTTTTGAGACAGAGTCTTGCACCATTTCCTGGGCTAGAGTGCAGTGGCACAATACTGGCTCACTGCAACCTCCACCTCCCAGGTTCAAGTGATTCTCTTGCTTCAGCCTCCTGAGTAGCTGGGATTACAGGTACCCACTACCACACCCAGCTAATTGTTTTGTATTTTTAGTAGAGGTGGGGTTTTACAAGTTGGCCAGGCTGGTCTTAAACTCCTGACCTCGTTAGTCACCCGCCTTAGCCTCCCAAAGTGCTAGGATTACAGGTGTGAGCCACCATGCCCATCCTATAGGTTATTTTGTCATCTGACTAAATTCTCCTTGTCCAATGTCATTTCCAAGAGGCCTTCCCAGTCTTGGGTTTTGGTTAGATGTCACTCCCTATGTAAAGTTATCATACTGCATTTATCACATAGCATTTAAACAATCAACCTTTGCCTTTCCCCACTTTAAGGTAAGGAACTGTTTCTTCCTCCTCTTGATATCCCCTAGGGCCTAGCATAATTCATACCTGGTAAACAGTCAATAAATAAGTGCTAGACAGATATATAGATAGGGAAGCCATTAATTAGAGTGTGGATTCTAAACCTGTTTTGTGCCACATATCTCTTTTGCTCTCTTGTAAATCTTTTGGATTCTACTCACAGTGATGTTTTTAAGTGCATAAAACAAATACACAAGATTACAAAAGAAAGCAATCGTTGGATAATGAGCTATAATAGCAGTCAGAATTACTATTTTCAATTTGTAATGATGAGTATAATTTTTTAGTCACCTTGAGCAAGTTAGTGTGATTTGAAAATACCATTTTTATAGGTGACAAAATACAGGCATTACTAATACTATGGCTTGTTGCCTGTATTCATAACAGAAGGAAATACTAAATTTTGGTTAGAGATTAACAAAAATAAACATGTAAATTTTTTTTCAAATTTACATAACCCCCCGTCCACCAAGGCCCTGGACCTGTACACTGCAAACAAAGAAGTCCTGCCTTAGAGGAACTAGAAAAGGTTAGGTAGCATGATGTTGTGGCTTAGGCACTGGCTGGCAAACAAGACATGATATGCTGCACTAAAGAGACTGTTTTGGGGAGCTATTAAAGGGTTTAATCATGGGGGTAACAGGGTAACAGTCAAAACATTTGACAACCATGTGATTTAGCCACTGACCAATCAGAATGTTTGCCAGCTATGAACAACCAGTCCATATTAGTTAACCCTAGGAATGTAGGGAGATTAACAAATGAGAGGGATTATTTTGGGGGAAAATGTGTGATTTAATACTAGGAAAGGACGAAACATGAGTTGGGGAGCCTGTTTACAAGGCTTTTATAAGAACTAAGGCATTGGGATTGAGGACGGAAAGATTTAGGAGGTAGAATCAAAGGTACCCAGTACTAACAGGATATCAGGGAATGGAGCTGGAGGAATCTAAGATGATTTATGTGTATCTGGACTTTGTAATAAAATAGGGAAGATGGGAGGAGAAGCAGCAGCAAGTTGTGGGAGATGGCTGAACAGGTGGTTCCTTTTGGTACTTTTTTTTTTTTTTTTTTTGAGACAGAGTTTCGCTCTTGTTACCCAGGCTGGAGTGCAATGGCGCGATCTCGGCTCACCGCAACCTCCGCCTCCTGGGTTCAGGCAATTCTGCCTCAGCCTCCTGAGTAGCTGGGATTACAGGCACGCACCACCATGCCCAGCTAATTTTTTGTAGTTTTAGTAGAGACAGGGTTTCACCATGTTGACCAGGATGGTCTCGATCTCTTGACCTCGTGATCCGCCCGCCTCGGCCTCCCAAAGTGCTGGGATTATAGGCTTGAGCCACCGCGCCTAGCCTCCTTTTGGTACTTTTATTCGAGATGCGTGTGGGACATGCAAGTGGATCTGTGTATGGGTATGGATGTGTGGGTATGAAGCTTAGAAAAGCATTTGGGGCTGACTGGTGGTTGGGGAGTGATGAGGCTATACTGAAAGCCAAGAACTTGGGTAGTAGCAGCCTAAAGAAGTGCACAGAACAAGGAAAGAAGACTTTTAATGATTGATCGAACCCAGCTCTAAGGATTGGGAGGAA